CTTCACCTTCCGCCTTTATCCCTGTCCTTGCTCCGCGGTAGCGAGCTTGCATTGAAATCGGTTTCGCTCGATAATCCTTTCAATCGTTCCTCGCGATCTCCTTTGTCGCGCCAGCTCGGCCTTTTATACCGATTCTCCAGTTGATTCGATCACCGGCGAATAATCGTATCGCGCGGAATAAAATGTACGAGGACGAGGTTATGGGTACTTGAACGGAGAATCGAACCAAACGGGGCTGGCTTTTCAGCTTTGGGGAAAAACGTGGAAAATACGTTCTGTCGCTCTCGTCTCGAAATAATCCCGTAAAAAATTATTTACACGCGTGAGAAACGTCACTTTTCCATTTCAAATTTACCGTTTATACGTTATTCGACTCAATGATTAAGCGGGTGAAAATTCGGAAATCGTCGAAGCATCTTAATACGAGAAATTGCGTTCGAGACTTTATTTGTTGATTACCGACGTTCTATCTGCTCGCCGCGCAAATCGTAGATAAGAGGCCAGATAATGGAACCCGCTCTTTGCAGAAAAAATCGTAGATTAAATATTAAAGCTACTTACTAAAATCCGCAAGGGAGTATCAAAGCGCGCTCTATGAAATTTCCGTAAGGATTAATGTCTCCTTCTGTTCGCAAAGGCCGTGAAATTAAAAAAAAAAAAAGAAAATGAAAGAAAAGAAAGTAAAATGCAAAGACATTACACGCTTCGCCCGTGAAACGCTAATTATAAAAAGAAACTTCGAGTCTTTCTTTTTTTTTCTTTCGTAGAACCGAGGAGCGGTCGCAACAAATGAACAGTCACTTATAAATTACTTTTCTAATTAATCATTCCGTTTCTGTAATTACTGTTGTTTCGAGTGCTCGGTAGTCGCGGAGAGGAAGACACAATTTCCTTAATGGTATACAGCGAGTGCTCACTTTATCGTGAACAATTTAGACCGCGATACCTCGATGTACCAAACAACCCGAGCGAACGAATAGTCGACCGAAGAGAAAATACGGAGCGATTTATCGACCCGAATGTCGTCGAAGACAGTCGTTCTGAAAAATTAAAGAAAATTAAAGATCTCTCTGGTATCTAATTTGCGGCTGCGAGACAAGATAGTTCGATCTCAGAGAGGCAAAAGTTGAAAGATTGTTAAAATTGCCCGTGGATATTCTGCCAACTTGGACTTGAAGTAAAATTATCTTTCGATTACAGATTTTGCAAAATATCCAAAGTGTAGCGCTCGTTGCGAGAGTGAATCTTTCGTTAAAACGCAAAGAGCGCAAGGATGGTCGTATCGAAAACGATACCGTATCGATCGATTTCCTTGGAATTTCGAGTTTGCGTTTCGCCGCGTCCCTTTCATCCGCGTCCCTTCGAAAATCGGATGGCTCTCGTAATTGGCTCTCGCGTGAAATTCAGCATGCATTTTAACGACGAAATTATTCGAGTCACGACACACGCGAGTCGTTTCTCGACATAGAAGGAAGGGGAAGAATCCAGGGGGAAGTTGAACGAGCGTATGAGGGACGGGGGTAGCGGTTTCAGTTAATTGGATAGCAATTAGACGAATTCCCCGGCATTGTCTTAGTGGACGAATTACACCGGATTGTCAGGCTTTCAGTTCAGCTGAAGGATGATCCTGCCCGATCGAAATTTCTATCTGGCGAATACGAATGACGGATGGCGGTCTTTCCTTCCGTCGCAAAGAGAGGGTATCTATCCTCTTGTCTTATCGTTTCCAACCCCCCTCCCTCCCTCCCTTCCTCCCTCCTTCTCTTCTAGCTGCCCTAGACGCAGCCAAGAGAGCCTTGCAACTTCCTTTTTGCATGCTCCATTTCGTGGATTGCGTACTTTCGACGAATTGATGCCTACGTATCTTTCCATTCGTCCCTCTCTCTCTCTCTCTCTCTCTCTCTCTCTCTCTCTCTCTCTCTCTCTCTGCATTTGCGGAATTGTTCCATATAGTTGGAAACGCCAACGTTTTTACCGCAAACGTTCTTGAAACGGTCTTGAACCCGCGGAGAAGTTACGATATTAGAGAACGGTGAAAAATTTGTGGGACATCGCCCTTGACGTTTCGTTTCTCCTAGTTATTTTCGCTTCTGGGGGACCATGTTCGTTGTAGAGCGTCGAAGATTAATATACACGGAGTTTCGCGATAATTCTCGCGAATCGTTTCAAAGTTATTCAAACGTCGTTATTCAAAACAGTGCTTCATCGAGCGCAACTCCAATTTAGCAACATTTCGCAAAGAAGTTTTTTTTAACGTTAATAAACGTACCAACGGCCCGGGACAAATGGCCTGGTATAAAAATTCGATCTAAAAATTCTGCATTCTTCTTTCGTTCGACTGCTCTTGTTAAAAGAAGGAAAAATGAAAGAAATCTAATTTTACCGGAAAGTTATTTTGTACATTGTTTCCTGTATAAAATTTACAATTGCCGAATAGGTACGTTTAGCGTTAACTAGATATATATATAATACATATTGCCAGAAATTTTCTGGACACTTACGACATAAATGTTCGTAAGAAAATCACAAAAATGTTCTGACACATTGTCAAACAAAATTTCGATTATTTTTTCTCCAAACATGCATCACTCGTTACGAATTGCTTCTTCTTCAATGCTGATCGACGAATTTAAATTTCGAAATTTCACGTGCACCAGTCTAATAGTCTAATTGCCAATCGATTAATTACACGCTCGAGAATGATACCCAACGTCTTAAAAATATTTCGTAAGAACGGAATACAGTTGCCTCTCCTCCCTCCCCTGACCTCGAAGAAATTTCCTACGACAGAGGAATTCGAGAACAGCCAGCGTCGACTGCAGCCTGGTCTGCGAGTCGAGTCGAGTCGACTAAAACGTGAGCCTATTAAGCGCACGATTTGCATCCTCGACGAAGTCTGAAGCGTCTCGTCGTCGTCGTCGTCGTCGTCGTCGTCGTCGTCGTCGCGCGTCTAGTTTCGCAACGCGGTCGACGCACCCGAAGAATGCGATCGAGCGTGCTTGGAAACAAGTTCACGGGCATCGTTGCCCCGTCGTTTTCTCGTCTCGCTTCGTGGCGACGTGTGCCACGTTCGCCGATCGAAGTGAACCGAACCGAGGCGATTAGATCGCCGCGAAACCGCCCGCTCGAATTCCAACGGTTCTCCGCGAACGCGCTCGTCGAGTGGAATAAGAAAGGAGGGAAACCGACCGGCTTTTAACGGAAGAAAATCGGTCTGATTGAAATATCAACGCGGCACCAGGAGAAAGTGGGACCCCGTTCCAAGTTTCACGAAAGAACTCGCCGTGACAAAGGGGAAGGGTGAGTGGGGAAAGGCGAAGGGGTTTATCATATCACCGTTAAAATTGACGAAACTTGTTCGACTTGAACTTACTTCCTTACTTTCGGATTTGACGTAGGTATTACACATCATTTTAAGCCGTGTAATGGAGTTTTTTCTTTTTTTTGTTTTTTTCTTTTTTGGAAAAAGGGATGGTTTTGATATAATGTCACTTATGCATTATATACAATGTGTTATTAGTTATATTGCTCGTATCATCGCGTACTATTAGATAATTGAGAGAAAACTGTTATTTTATAATTTTATAGTTTACACTATTACAACGTACTGTTTTGTAATTTTATTTCATCACTTAGTTTGAATTCATTTCACTTTCTATGTGCGACATGCCAAAATACTGTCGACGATGAGAATAACTGTCGATGGTACCGATATTAGAAAATCAACAGTTTCTACTGCCTCAATTTTTAATCGTGTTTAAACGAGCCAAAAAATATTGCCAAGAAAATCACGATAAGAACTTGTACTTCACACATTATATTTTCCACAAGTACGTAATAATTTCGACAGCCAACATTTTTCTTTTTTTTTTTTTTTTACGCTACAAAAATTACACGTCGTTTCGTTGCAGTTAGTTGTCGAAAATTCGGGACAAGTTAAAAAAAAAAAAACAAATTGTAACGAATCGAGAAATTGAACATGAAAAACGAAACGGAGACTAGACGAAACGCGAGTGTTATCCAGTAGGAGCGTTTCCACGCTGCCAAGCGGAGCAGATAAGCTCGATCATCTTGCCCTCTCGCGAAGGAAAACTTTCCAACGCGTTGTGCCAAGATAAAATTCATAATTGCTTTAATTTCATCGTGCGCCGTTATCGTTGCGATAGTCATGGCCGAATTTTCCAGAGAGAATCGCCGATCCTATCTTTCCTTCGACTCCACTTGCGCTTTTATCTTGCTCCCCTTTTAACTTGCGCTCGCAAGTCGTCTCTTGAACAATGAACAATTTTAATTCGCCCCTTTAACATCTCGTGCGTCGTTTTGTCGTGAATCAAGATGGCCGTCTGTCTCGCTTAACGAGAGTTACGAATTAATAATCACCTCTGATTGTCCACTAACACCTGTAGCGAATAAAGCTGCCAAGGTGGTGAATCTTTGATTAATTTGGATCTGATAAATTTCGAGTGGTACGTTGGAGATTTTTTTTTTTTTTTTTCTTCTTTAAACAAGTAACGCTGCTTTCTCAATCTTTTTTGCGTAGATTATTATTATTGACTGCTACTTGAAATTGTTCAGAAATGATTAATTATTAACGACAATTCTCACGCCTATTTATTTTATTTCGTTAAAATGCTTATTTAACTTTTGACTTAATTTAAGCTACTCCTTATTCTATCCAATAATTTAATTTCATTTACTTCGCGCGAAATGCAGAAATAGAGAAATTATTTCATTCATTTCGAGCAAAACCAGATCAACATTTCCTCTTGATTAATCTTGCCGCGTGTACTTGCTCGTTTAAGTAAAAAGCGAATCAGTAAAAAAAATTGAACGTCGTCGAAAACGAAAAAAAATGCTTCCTTTCCGCAATTTCTCTCTCTCTCTCTCTCTCTCTCTCTCTCTCTCTCTCTCTCTTTTCCTTCTTTTTAATTAATCTTTCATTCTGTTCGTTCGAATAAAAACTGGCTGCTGTCTCACGAGAGTATGTGCTTGAATTTCAGGTGGCTTCACCTGCTATTTAACCTAGGAGTACAGGTGGTCGTGGGACTTCCCCTGGAAATGGTTCACGGAAGTCTGAGGATTGCGGCAGTTTACATGGCTGGAGTTCTTGCCGGTAAGAGTAATCGCTATGCATTACAAATTGCTAAATTTTATTTATACGGGCAAACGCAATCTCTCGCTTTAACCTGGGACGCGTATCCACCGAAATAACAAGTCGCCGTACTGTTCATACAGACAGATTAAAAAGTGTTTGTAAATACGATAATTGCACTGTGTATTTAATAGATTTCACGGATTTCGCGACTCGTTCAGTTTATTCGGAGCTGTCAGATTTGCGATTATTAATCGGTTGTATAAATTCGGGGATTCGATAATACGTAAATTCGTTGTACGCTCGTTGTTAATTTGATAATATCGATCTAACGTGCCATTAGGTATACGTATTTCATATTTAACTCTGTAGAGGGAGTTTCTTTTTTTTAAGTGAATTTTTATTTACGAATATCGATTTTGTTCCTTATCGTGAATTAACGACTTGTTTTGTGCGACATTTCTCAAAATGAACGTTCAATTAAACGTCCAGTTCGCCGGAATTGATCACCTCGATACTTAATTTGAAACAGTCGACGAATCGAAATAGAATTTTTAATAAAGAAAAATGCAACTTCTCATAAAACATTTTTTGTTTTTTCCAAAAAAACAGAAGAGCCTATCTCAAACATAGAAATAAACCAACTTTCTACAAAATTGATTTTCCAGTTTCATTGTCCATACTTTCCAGCAGAATAAAAATACTTGTTTCTCCAGAGCTGTAGATACATCTTCGATGAAAGATATTTTCACAGGAGTTTGATCATACGAAAGATATTTTGCGACGAAAAAATCTCTCAAAAGAACTCTTAAAGTCAATTCCTTAATCACTGAAATTTTATTCATCTACTATTAAAGAATCAAAATTGTCAAATACAGGGTGAACCAAAAATCACTTCCTACTAAAAATAAATTGATTTTTTTATTAAAAAAAAAAAAAAAAGAGAAAAGAACACAAATTTGCAAACGCTCCAGCGGTCGACGTTTGAAAGAAATAACTTTGAAAGCATAATGAAAAGATCATGTTTGAGCTTGAATTTAATTTAAGATCGATAAAATTAATTTTTTCTTATATTTTGATGTTTTATTGAAAAATAGATGGAAAGAAACTTTTAGCCCATTCTGTATAATAATAATAATAATAATAATAATAATAATAATAATAATAATAATAATAATAATACCATTCTAAATCAACGACGGTATCACGTGCGTTAACGCAGAGATGATCGTAATTACGCGTCTACACATTAGAGAGAGCAAATACAACGAAAATAGTGTAACGAGATTGGCGAACGAGAAAGGTATAACGAAAGAAAAATAGAAAAGGGAGATAAAACGAACAAGCGAATGGGAAATAAAAGGAGGGAAACGAGAGAGAGAGAAAGAGAGAGAGAGAGAGAACGTTATCCGTTGTCAACAAAATGCGATTAAGCGAAAGCCTCCGGTCCAAGTGCATTTAACGGGGCATGGAAGCGAGGCTCGTCGATAGCTGCAACGCGTGATTATGCGCCGGCATGTAATGCAGTAATGCTACAGAATGCTCCTCGCAACAATATTCCTGAATTTAAATCACTCGGCGATTCTCACCCGCGTAAACGCCCCGGCGGTGCAGGCGCAGCTGCAACTGCCAGGGCCCGGCGACTCTATTTCTTCCCTGTAACGCAATTTGTCCCTCTTTCCATTTGCCGTGTTTCCGGATTTTCCAGAGCGTGGAACGTGTTTTTACTCTCTCCTTCTATTCCTCTCTTGATCGCCCCCTCTTCTCTCTCTCTCTCTCTCTCTCTCTCTCTCTCTCTCTCTCTTTCTCTCTCTGTCACCCTTCGCGAGCATGTTGCGTTCACCACCCCCTACTGTTTGTGTGTCCTTCCTGCATCCCTCCTCTCGCACGCTAGCAGAGAGAGAAAGAGAAAGAGAGAGAGAGAAGAGAGGCACGCGCGTGTCTCTCGCAGAATACGCGTGTACCAACGGTAACACGTATCAGGGTGAGGCAACGGGCGCACATTCGTGTAAACCTAATTGCCATTTGCATAAATTCGATTAGACTCAGATCCCGGGTTATTAGCAGTCATGAAAGTAAAACGTTGCAAAATAGGGCGCATGAATAATAAACTCCTCGCCCGGGAGATCCGAGATACGTCGGGGCACGACGTATAAAATGCGCGGAGGATCGTAACGTTCCTGACTTGTGAGCTCAACAGGGGGGAGGCGATATTAAAGCCGTGGTGACTCGAAATCACGAAAGGGAGAAATGGAAGAACCGGACAAGGGGTTTCGGGATTTTCTTCTTTTTTTCTTTTTTTTTTTTTTGAATTCCGAAGGGGCCGTGTAATTGGATAAAACGTACAATACGCTCGATGAAATTAGAAATTTTTCATTTGTTTCATTCTGATTAGATTTTTTTTTTAATAAAATAGAGTGAAACGTTACAATTGAGATTAGTGTTATAATTTACCAATTAATTTTACACTTATCGTTGAATCATTGGAAACTGTGATAATTATTGTTAAATTGATTAAGCTGGTCAAATCAATTAATTAATCGATTGATATTGTTGATATTGATAAGTTAATATCGTCGAATTAATTACTACAGTAAATACAATCGCGTAAGTTGTAATCTTGACAAACTCGAACACTCGAATGTAGTTCATCTATGTGATTTTGATCCATCGTTATGATCAAAATCATTTGATCACGAACCTGTAACAGATCCAACCACCGAGTATATCGATCTCGTGAAATCTCCAGTAACGTCTTTCCAAATTTAACAGCAACGACAATAATTTAAATGAAGTAAAATTTTCTACAGTATCAAAAAATTGCGTTACTCGCGTACCCTTATTATTTCACTCTCGTCTCTGCAGAAAATTTTTCACACTCATCTCTCTCTGTCCGTGAGCTTCCGTGAGGCTCCTTCAATTTCCCCGCGCTTCGATTTCCTTGAAATCAATCAGGACGGAAAAGATTGAATTTGTCATCATTGAATATAATTATTCGAAATGTTCACTTTGTCCCGATGCAGCAGCCTCGCTTAATCATGGGCTGGCGAGAAGGTTGCCACGGAATATTGAATCGCGTAATGAGAATAAAGCGGGCGCCCTTTCTCATCCGTCTTTTCTTGGCTGGTTCTCCCCCTCTGAAGTAGTTCACCCCTGCTGGCTTCCTCTCGAGCCTTCGTAGCTTTCCACGTGAACAGGAGGTGGCGACAGCTTGTCTGGGGCCACCGCGACAAGATTACTTCGTATGCATCGCGGTCGCGTCGATGTAATGCGATTGTAACTAAGCAAGTGCAACGGCACCTATCTCCTTCGCCACCTTCCTCGCTTCCTTCTTCCGCTTATTTTTCTTCATCACGTTCGATCAATTTGCACGTCATTTCGCCAGTCGTGCATTTGCAGATGAAATTCCATTGCTAACGTGGAGGATTGGCCACGTAGTGGACTTCAGTTACCGAAGAAAAGGACGATCATTGAAAGATATTTTATACAGAAATTGGAGAAAATGTAAATGCGACGAGCTTCTTGCATTTTCATGGATATTTTTTTCAGAATTTACCAGCGTTGAGAAATTTGAGAAATTGCCATGATAATGAGGGAACAACCTCTCTGTAAATCGGAGAAACAATTAAAAATCTACGACGGTGTATCATCATAGACCAAAACCACTGTATATGTGTTATTTGAAACTGAGTTGAAGCGAAAGATTACGTTTTCTTTTCTTTTTTCAATGAAATACGGTCAACAAACAACGTGTAAAACGTGGCGCTGCAAATCCTTCGAACGATATTGAACGATCCAAGATCGAACAAAGAAGAGAGAGAGAGAGAGAGTGGTTTGTGAAATTCTCAGAAAAGTGGGGGAGAAAAAGCGGCGTTTGAAAGAATAACTTCCAAGATAAACGGGGATCAATTTTCGCGTAATTTCATTCGCTCGTTCCACCATTCGCTGGTGCCTGGCGCTTTTCGAATCGGCGGTGAGACTTCGTGTCGTAGAATCACCGGCGCCGTGCCGATTGCGTGACACCGACAATTATACGACGGTATCTGCATGTCGCCGCGTATGCGTGATGCATTTTGCATGCGTAACGGGAAGACGGTATTCCCCCCGATGCTAGACGGCCGTCTGTCTAGCCTCTTCCCTTCCTCGAAACCCTTCAGCGTCTGTTATTTGCCTTCCAGCTCACCTTTTCGCCAATTTTCACCCTTTATACCGCTGTTCAACCACCATTTTCTTTTTTTTCTTTTTCCCCCTCCTCATCGCGCACCTTTTTTTCTCTTTTTCTTCTTTCGCTTTCGAGGTCTTTACGTGGTGTGCGGGTATCGAATGTAGAAAATATAGACGTGGTTTTAAGTGCGTGTCTTTTGGTTATTAGTTATTATTATTAATAATTAAGTTAAATTTATTTTGCATCGTTGTTCACTGCCATCTGTTTCAAAGGATATCGCGCCATTTTTTGGAATGAAGTCGCGTAAAGTGAAAATTAGAAGAAGGAAACTATGTGAGCGAGAGAATATTATGACGTTCCTTTTGTAACGAACCGAATACTGTGAAAATTGGGAAAAGGAAAAAATTTTTGAAAGGTACAAATTTGCAAGGGTATGCAAGAAAATTATAAACTTTGGTTTACAACGCGGAAAATCGATTGCTTCTTCTCTTTTTTCCCTTTCGTTCGCTTTTCTTTTTTTTTTTTTTTTTTTTTTTTTTTTGTTTGTTTAGAGAGAATCGTTGTACTCCATTTCTTTTTAAATATCGAATTTTCAGGCATTCGTTCGACCTGTGCCATTCTATTTGTTCTGTAATATTCTTTCTTTTTTCTTCTTTCAATTTACGCGCACTATTGTTCTTTATTCTGGTCGATACGCCCGCTGATTTGATCAATTTCTCTGTTTCCTTTTTTTTCTTTTTTTAATCTTTGTCATCGTTTCGCGTTAATTTCATCGAGATTTTTAATCTCCCCCGCAGTTTCGTCGTTTTTTTTTTCCATTTTCTTCTTCGTATTCGTTTTTACGGTTCTCCGCACG